CCCACAGCTCCTGCCTGCAAGCGATCGTACATCGCGTGATCGCTTGTATGTAAACAGCCATCGCTGGCTGTTTACATGCTCACAGTTTTCCCTCTCGCTGAGTGCCGCACACGAGAGGGGGGAGGGGCAGGACGTCTTAAGATGCCCTCCCCCTCCTAGCAGACTCCAGTCAGGCCGTTCACGAACGGCCATGGACGGAAGGTGGTTAAAGAATATATGCCCTTCAACTTAACCGAAGGGCTTAGGCTGAAGCTATGGCTGGATCCTTTGGCTCTTTAGTGAATAACCCCCTAAATGCTTTTATTCAAACAAAGAAATTAAGTTCTGAATGGAATCCACCAAATATTTCATAGCCTTCCTCCATCAGTGAGACTTTTTATCCCCTGTGGACATCATGGATGATGTCCTGCATATCCCCATTTCTCCAGTGCCTCACTGCTACCTTCATTTGGCTGAGGTGCTAGCATAACTATACACACAGGGTATTCCCATTGTGGGATACCTAGATGACCTCTTAATAAGAGATCTGTCAGCTTAAACTCTATCAATATAATGTAGGCAGTCCAGACCTTATAAAGGTTCAGTTGAATCCTGAACCTCCAGAAATCAGTGCTGGAACCAGCACATTGCATGGAATATTTTTTTATATACACAGCTCAGCCAACTCTGCGATCCTACATGAGAGTTTGGGGCTTTATAGTAGCCCCCTTCAAGGCAATTCCTTGTGCTCAGTTCCACTCCAGACGTCAGACTCATACAGCACAACATTCTGTTGTTGTAGGACAAATCAATTCAGTCTCTAGACAAGCCAATTCATGTGACACTGAAGATCAGATTGTCTCTGGCCTGGCGGCTCAGAAATCCAGCTCTGGAGTTGGTAAAAGCTTTTGAAGCCCAGGTCTTGTAGGAATAGTTAAATACCTAATGAGATTTTAGTGAATTGTATGCCAAAGTGTTAAATAATATATGAGTTATTTTACCTCAAACCTTCATGCAGTATTTAACTCCTAGTGAATTGAGCAAAGTATCACCAAAATAAAGCTTTGTTTGTCCTAGAAAACAATATATGTATTATATGCTATATTGTGTAATGACAAAATCATTGCTGAGTAATAAGGCCCACAATAGAAATGTAAAAAAAATGCCTTACTATATTAATGGTAAAAAGATCAGGTCTGAGTACGTAGAACCCTTAGGCTGGGCACACACCTTAGAACCATCGCAAGACTTTGTCTTGCGATGGTTGTAAGGTAATTAAAAAAACGTACGATCTGCCTATCTTGGACAGGCAGATCGTACTTGCGATGATCACAAGCCCGCCCCGCTGATGAGCGGGCTTCCGATGACCGCAATGCCGAACGGGCAGTGTGCACTTGCGCACACCGGCCCGTCCGGCTTTTATCTTACGAACATGCTACACACCCGCCGAAAATCATATTGCCAAAATATTGGCAATATGGCTAATGTATTTTGAAACAGCCTAGTTGTTTTAACCTATGGAAGAATGAATATGTATTGATCAGTGAACAATCTAAAACTACTGTTTCCCTCAATCCTTGGAAATCATACTATTGGTTGACCTTAGATAAACCAATATAATGCTTTTTTTAGGTAAAACTAATTTACTTGTAACATCTGTGTTACTGAATTTAACATAATTATTCACTAATATGCATATCTTGAGCAACATTTTGTACATTTCTTCTAAAGATTCATGAGTTTTGCTCAGTGTATAACTACAATGTTGAAGACTTATTCGGTTTATCAGATTGTATGACTACATACTGTACATCGTGTTAAATTTCTGCTGACATTTTGTTCTTAGTTTTCTGGAAACATTTAACCTCATAAAGATCAACTGTCAAATAATCACAAACATGTTAATGATACCTATTATGTGAGATACGCAATCCTGAGTTAGAAATTGGTTATTTTTGTTAATATTTGAAAATAAAAAGCAATCACTGCTGCCCTGTTGTATATCATTTTAGTTACCCCTGCTTGGTGCTGGAATACGAATACACGAGAGAAGGGTGACTGAAGATCTTCGTCCTTTCCATGATCGAATGGAGGAGTGTTTTAAAAACCTGAAAATTAAGGTTGAAAAGCAATATGGTGTTAGAGAACTGGTATGATTCTATCTATTTAGATGTTTTTTCCCCCTTTATTAGACTATTTGCATTTCTTTGCCCTTTATTTACTGCACTATACCCAATGTCTCTTCAGTGTGTACTATCTCACATATCTCTGTGAGTATCTCACAGGATATCAAATAGGTTTTAGCTGTAAGCTCAATTCTTTTTCATAATGGTATTCCCCTACAGTGGCACTTAAAGATTCCCCTGAATGTCTTAACTTCTATCTAGGAAGTAAATGCATGCCTCTAACCCCCACCCCACAGTCAAATGTCTAGGATCTGAGCATGCCCTTTTATTAGCATGCCTGCACATTGCCACATGGCGGTGTGGTCCTGCGGCTATGCAAAAACCGACTTTGAGAATGTTCCTTAAGTGTATTTTCTCTAATTGTAACTTACTATTTTCATATCTGGGGAGATAGTCATTTGCCTGTAACACACACTGATCATTGGCCGCACAGTGGCTTACTGGTTAGCACTTCTGCTTTGCAGCCCTAAAGTCCTTGGGTGGAATCAAGGACTAGAGCACTATCTGCATGGAGTTTACATGTTCTCCCTGTGCTTGTGTGGCTTTCCCCTGGGATCTCTGGATTCCTTCCAAACTCTAAAGACATGCAGGGTCCTGAGCACACCCAAGCTCTCTTAAGATCTCTAATCTCTTAGGTGTCCCGATACCACTTTTTCAAGACCAAGTACAAGTACTACCCCTCATGTACTTGCCTATACCAATTACCGATACTTTTTTCTTAAAGGGACAGGTGACATTTAAAAAAAAACAACAATGCAGACTAATGATTTTAGGCCAATTTCTTTATGATTATGAAGAACTTTAATTTAAGACTGTTATAGAACAATAACACATTTTTTTTTGCTTCCACACAGCTGTTGTGAAACTACAAATCCGATCATGCATCTGCCTCTGGGATAATTTAACCTATTCATTTTAGCAGGGGAGAATTGGGAGCGCCTCCCACGCAATGCAGCGATCCTGCCCAGAGCCAACTACGAGAGGGATCGGAGTAAAACTGTGTCTGAGGGAAGCTGGGACAGGGCCGGCTGTAAATCTTTTACTGCAGTGTACTGGAAGTGTGTGCTGTATATATGTACTACATATACAATACACACTTCCAGTACACTGCAGTAAAAGATTTACAGCCGGCCCTGTCCCAGCTTCCCTCAGACACAGTTTTACTCCGATCCCTCTCGTAGTTGGCTCTGGGCAGGATCGCTGCATTGCGTGGGAGGCGCTCCCAATTCTCCCCTGCTAACATGAATAGGTTAAATCATGATCCTTAGTACATATACAGTACACACGTCCAGTACACTGCAGTCTGCAGTAATAGAGTTACAATTCTGCCCTGCTAATCGATTATCGATTAAATCATGATGCATAGTACATAATAGTACATAACATGTAGTTGTACTATGGATCATGATTTAACCTATATTAGCAGGGGAGAACTGTAAATCTATTGCTGCAGTGTATTGGAAGTGTGTACTAGGTTAAATGATCCATAGTACACACTTCCAGTACATTGCAGTCTGCAGCAATAGATTTACAATTCTCCCCTGCCAACATGAATATGTTAAATCATGATCCATAATACATAATAGTACATAGCATGTGGTTGTACTATGGATCATTTAACCTATTCATGTTAGCAGGGGAGAATTGTAACTCTATTACTACAGTGTACTGGAAGTGTGTACCAGGTTAAATGATCCACAGCACACACTTCCAGTACACTGCAGTAATATAATTACAATTCTCCCCTTCTAACATGAATAGGTTAAATGCTCCATAGTACAACTACATGTTATGTACTATTATGTACTATGGATCTTTTAACCTATTCATATTAGCAGGGGAGAATTGTAAATCTATTTCCTGCAGTGTATTGGGAGTGTGTGCTTTATATGTAGTACATATATACAGTACACACTTCCACTACACTGCAGGCAATAGATTTACAATTATCCCCTGCTTCTTTGACACTCCCACTTCCATCGCTAACTCAGCACAGGCCCCATCCCACTGACAGTCTCACTTACTGGTTGGATGGCTGTCTGATCCCTGGTGCCTGACGATGTGCCTCACGTCCTCTCGTAGTGGTCGCTTGGCAGGAAGCAGCGGCGCATCAGCGCTGGTCTGGTGGACGGCGCTCCAGGTGGTGTCCTAATTTAGCTGGCTGGCAGACTGCCCAGAGGACCCCAACACGCGCGGTACCTCTGGGCAGCCTGAAGCTACAAAAAAAACATCGCCGCTATGTATCAGGGCATTTTCACAAATGCCCTGTGTCGTTCCTGATACCGATGCTAGTATCAGTATCAGGACATCCCTAGTTTTAAGGCCTCGTGGAGAAAAGCACTATAGAAATAAATAATTGTAATTTTTTAGCAGATAAGGCATGGATGCATTTAAAATGTAACTCCAGTTTATAAAAAAAAATTAATAACACAAAATAAATAGCACAGCATAAAACAGCTTTCATTGCAATATTTAACTTATCTAATCTAGAGCTGTCCCCCTACTGTAACTGCTTTCTGTCACCAGACTCTGGGTTGAACGGCAGCCATTGTCATTCAACTCACTACCTCTGACCGAGGGCTATCATGGGCCATCCACCTGTAGTGGCATCATTACTCCAGCCTAGGTGCAGTGTAATTATTACGTGAGCACTATTTAGCGCAACAGTAAGGACTACCCACTACCCGAAGAGAAGAGGACCCAGAAGATCACATTTGTAACACTATTTTGGGGGATTTTTAATGCCAATATTAATCATATTAACAGTTTTTCTAAAATAATTAATTTTATTCACAATATTAAAATGAAAATAGAACTGTGTATGCAATGTATTATTTTACAATTAACCACCTCCTCTAATTAATATCATGTTGTTATACATATCTTAATATAAATGACCAGGAAGGCCAAGGAAATCCAAGCTTCTTCTTCAGGAACAAGGGGGATATCTATAGTATACAACATATATCTATGACACACAATATGCACAGTTGAAAGAGAAGTATTAGGAGAGTAAAATGTACTCTTCCCAATACTTAGAGCTGGCATGTAACACTGCAGCTGTTGCATGCCAGTTCTTTACATCAAGAGCTGAACAATCATGTTTCTGCTGATCACTCAGCTCCCAATTTCCTCCCTACAGAGAGCAATGACTGTCAGTCACTGTTCCATGTAGGAATTCCCCTTTCCCTCTCCGTTCCTCCAGCACTCACTAGAGGGACAGACAGAGAGAGGCAAAGCCAGCTGTCAGTCAGGTAGTCAATATTGTTAAAATCTTTTGTGTGCAGGGCGGCTCTGTTTGGGTCACAGGAGTACATTAGTAAATGTATTCCTGTGACCCAAAAGAGAACAAAAGCAATTTAAACAGGTTTTGATTTAATTCTCTTTTACCAATAACATTATATCATAATATATTCGTGTTTCTTATGTCAATTATTGATGTATAACAAAAGTGTGACTTATTTGTAATTTCTCACATATTATCTACTCAAATGAAAATAAATTTAGTGCTTTGTGCATGAAACCATGCAACCTCTTTTTTAGCCAAGAGGAAATACCAATCTGATGGACCCATAGAAAAGGAATCAGTACAAATATATATCCCACCTATCTCCACCTTTAATTCCTTAAACCTATATTTACCTACAGTAGGTCTCAATCATGGTTGCTTAAAAATGGCAGAGGAGTAGGAAAGGAACCACATCCTTGGAGGGAGAGGGGTTTCTATTATTAATAATAATAAAAATCAAACACGTACAGGCTAGCATATTGTCTATACATAATCTCCATCACTACCTGCAATCAATGTTATAATCACTCACCACTATAAAATATCAAATGGCATGGGCATAGGCCAAAATAAATCACTCATGATTGTGTTTGTGAATAGTGGTCTTCCCTGGCTCAGTTATTGTTTATTCTCCAAATAGACGCCGTCCATTCTCAATTTACAAAAGGCATAAGATATCCAACCCCCCTGCTGGACGCTCTCCCCTCACCACACCATTGTGTCCAATCTGGCGCCAAAATGACATCTGCACTGTGACTTAACATGCCTGGGGTCATATGTATTTGTATGCTCTCTGAGATCAGAGGGAGCCCAGGAAATTGCATAACATAGACTCCCAACCCCTCCAGACAGGGAACAACCATTTACAGCTTTGGCTCCATCTAGTGGTTCTATA